CTGCATCGGGCTCTGTGCTGACGGCTCCGAGCCTAGAGCCTGCTTCGGATTCTGTGTCTCCCTCTCTCTCTGCTCTTCCCCCGCTCATGCTCTGTCTCTCTCCCCTTCAAAAATCAATAAACTTAAAAAAAATAAACAAATAAATATATCTTCCAGTGTTATATTTTTTATAAAGTGCTTTTATCCTGTAACAAGTTTTTTTTTTTACTTTTTAAATGTTTTTTAAAAAATTTTTTAATGTTTATTTATTTTTGAGAGAGACGGACAGAGAGACAGAGCATGAGCAAGGGAGGGCATAGAGAGAGAAACAGAACCCAGAGCAGGCTCCAGGCTCCGGGCTGCCAGCACAGAGCCGGATGCAGGGCTCAAACTCACAAACCGGGAGATCAGTGACCTGAGCTGGAGTCGGACGCTTAACCGACTGAGCCACTCAGGTGCCCCTTTAATGTTTATTTTTGAGAGAGAGACAGAGTACAAATGGGGAAGGACAGAGAGAGTGAGAGACACAGAATCTGAAGCAGGCTCCAGGCTCTGAGCGATCAGCACGGAGCCCAGTGCAGGGCTTGAACCCACAAACCGTGAGATCCTGAGCTGAAGTCGGATGCTTAACTGACTGAGCCACCCAAGTGCCCCCCATCCTATAACAGGTCTTAACTGTTCTCCTCAAAACTTAGAAGCTGCAGATTTGACTCATTGAACTTAAGGAAATGTTTGCCATATAACATAATTGGAAATGCCCGTCAGTTACTGTCCACTAAAGGAAGCAGATCAGACTTGTTTTTGTTAGAAAGAATCTGATTTGCTTTTCCAACCCGAATACGCATGACTTTATTTTGTAAAGAGGGAGAAGAGTAAGAGAACTGACAGTGTTTCACCTCTGGGGCTTTCTTAGGAAGATAATATTAAGAAAGAGAGTGCTGACTCCCTTGAGGCCATCAGAGCCCCTGTAATTCCTGGAAGGCTTTGGGCTGGGAGTGAGGGTAGGAGTGGTTCATGTACCTCAGTTTGAAGACTTCCAATTAAAACTACCTTGGCTTTTGCAATCGTGAAGTCCTGTCTCTGGCCATTTTTTTTGTTTTGAAGAGAAAGAGGGAGAGGATGAGTTGGGGAGATGGGCTGAGGGGGAGACAGGGAGAGAGAGAGAGAGAGAGCGTGCGCGCGAGAGAGAATCTTAAGCAGGATCCACACCCAGCGTGGAGCCCAACAAGGAACTCCATCCCATGACCCTGGGATCATGCCCTGAGCTGAAATCAAGAGTTAACCGACTGAGCCACCCAGGCACCACCCCCTTCTTAACATATTATTATTATAATTTTTAATGTTTATTTATTTTCGAGAGAAAGGGGGGCGGGCAGCGAGAGGGGGACAGAGGATCTGAAGCAGGCTCCGCGTTGACAGCAGAGAGCCCGACTTGGGGCTCGAATTCACAAACCGCGACATCATGACCTGAGCTGAAGTCGGACACTTAACCGACTGAGCCACCCAGGCACCCCACCACCCCCTTTAAAACAAAATTAAATATTGGGTCTTGGAAACCCTCCCTATCATTCTTGGTAACGTCTGTATGATATCCCATTTGTATAAAAGTACTGTCACGTGGTTAACCCGTTCCCCCATCAGTGGTTATTTGTTTCCAGTCTTCTCCATGATTAAAAATAGTGCTGCAGTGAGGAGCTGTGTACAAAAGGCACACACGGCTGGCACACGTGTGGGAGACTGGAGGGTGCAACCCTGCACGTGGACTTGCCGGGCCAGAGGCTGAGCATTTACACATTGACAAGAAGTGCCCTCCACAGAGGCTGCCTCTGTTTACGCTCCCACCAGGGAATCGGACTGCCCGGTGCCTCTCACTCGGTCCAGCACAGTGGGCTAGCAGACGTTTTCATTCTTTGCCAGTAGGAGGGGTGAAAAATTATAGGTCGCTGTGGTTTTATTTTGCATGTCTCTGATTATGAGTAAGGTCATCACCTTTTCATGTGTATTTCCCTCTGTAATTCCTTTGCTGGGAAATGTCTCGGGAAAACAAGCCTTGTGCCCACTTTTCTAATGGATTAGTCTTTTTCTTGAATCGTATGAACACTGTTTCCTAAGGAAGTGAATTCTTCTGTCAGCAGTTTCGTCGGATGTATTTCCCCAGCTCACTGCTTGCATTCTGACATCGGCTGTGCATTCTTGCGTGTGTTGTGCAGAAACCCCTCATTTTTATGTAGGTGAATTTATCAATCTATTTATGACTTCTGACTTTCACGTCACGCTTTGGAAAGCTCACTCTGAAATTGTTCCTTTTAATTCTACCATGCTTCCCCCCACCCCCGCTCATTTTTTTGGGTTTGTTTTCTCATTATTTTACAATCCTTGATTCATCTGGAACTTATTTTGCTATGGGAGTGAGATAGCGATCCAGGCTTGTGATCACCTGTGGTATAATACAAAATTGCATTGGTCTTTGTTTCTGGTTCCTGGAACAAAGCTTCCCAAACTCTTGGAATTTCCCAAGTGACAGGAGTGTCCTTTATAGAGAGCCCACTGTGGGTTTAGGTTAATGACCATGATTTAGTGTGGGGTCCCTAGATAGGCTCAGGTGGGACTGGACACTAGCAAATCCAAGCAAATGGAGACCTGGAACTTTCAGCCCCACCCATCAACCTCTGTGAAAGGGTGGGGGTAAGGGAACGGTAGATTGACTCTATAAAACTTGGACAATGCAATTTTCTGAGCCTCCAGGTTGGTGGAGCACCTCAGTTCCATAGAGACAGAAGCTCCTGGGTTAGTGACCTTTCTGGACCTCGCTCCGTGTATCTCTTTGGCTGTTTTTCTGTATCCTTTATAATATCCTTTATCATCAACTGATAGATATTAGCAAATGTTTCTCCGAGTCCTGTGAGCTGCTCTAGCAAATTAATAGAACCCAAGGGGGGGTCATGGGAACCTCCGATTTATAGCCAGGTGGTCAGAACAGAGGTAGCAACCTTGACCTGCAGTTGGTGTCAGAAGGGGGCAGTCTTTGTGGGACTGGCCCTTAACCTGTGGGCTCTAATGCTACCTCCATACAGACCGTGTCAGAATTGAGTGAAATCGGTAGGACACTCAGTCTGGGTGTCCGTTTCACCAAGAAAGGGAGGAAAAAACCCATCAGACTGCCTTACGGTCCCAACGTCATTTATGAACTTGTCCCTTTCTTCGCTGGTAAAAGATCCACTTCTAACACAGGCATAGTCTTCAGGGTCTGCCCCGTGGACCTGTCTTACTAATGCCTAGGACTGAACCGCCTTTAGTCCTTCTGGTTCCTATCATTACTCTTCTGTTTCAGAATTTTCTGGTCTTTCTTGCATACTTATTTCTCAATAAGAATTTTGGAATTGCTCCCTAATGATCCCCAAACTAAAGTAGATGTATTTTCCTTGGAATCGCCCTAAGTGAATAATTAATTAGGGAGAATAGACCACATTTAATATTAAGTGCCCCTAACCAAGAACATGGTGTTCTTTCCATTTGTTCAATTTTTCTGCGGCGCCACTTTGAAATGTCCAGTCAGGCAGCTCCTGGGAGCAACCATAGCCTGAGGGTGCCCCCTTGATCACTGGTCACACAGATCCCCAAGATCAACGGATCTGCCTGGTTGGACAGCTGCAAGGCTGAGGGAAGGACAACTTGCGATTTGCCCCTCTTCCCTGAACCTGTCCCAGCAGCCCCCTCTTCTCTGTTTTAGGGTCTTGCAACATTTGTGATTTAATCAAGCCTCATCTCCACAGGGGCATCTGGGGATAAAGCCTGATACTTCCTTGCGAACTGGTCAAGCCTGGTCTTCCCTGACCATCGATACCTAGGACTCATCACACGGGAGCCAGGGGATGATTTGGCTTGGGCCACATCATCACAAGAGGTCTCAAATTTACACTTCTCACCCCAACATCATTTGAGGTGACTCACAGAGGCACACGGAGGGAATTGAAAGAAGGTATTCATTAGAAAACTTAAATGTGAGTCCCATTACCAGAACTCATGCCAGCCAGGCACTATAAATCTGATATAAATCATGTACCTGATGTGTGAATAGCAGAGTTATATTGCAGGACATTGCCATATATAAAGGAATGCAAAAAAAAATTGTCAGCATATTAAAAAAGATTTTAACGTTTATTTATTACTGAGAGACAGAGAGAGACAGAGCATAAGCAGGGGAGGGGCAGAGAGAGGAGGAGACACAGAACCCAAAGCAGGCTCCAGGCTCTGAGCTGTCAGCACAAAGCCCGACGTGGGGCTCGAACTCACAAACCGTGAGATCACGATCTGAGCTGAAGTCGACACTCAACTGACTGAGCCACCCAGGTGCCCCTAAGCCTACATATTTTTATTGACACGTAGATATCACTCAAATCATCATTGGTATAATGCTTGGTGTTTTATCAAAACCTTTAAAGTTATATCACTTACTACCAAAATTCTGACTCTTATGATAGAAATACTTCAAATGTGATGCTTTTTCTATAAAGAAAAATAAAACAATATTTTGTTATAAAATACAAAATATTGTTAATAAAATACATTGGTTTGTATTTTAGTGCAAAAATTAAACACGCACCATAATATCTGCAATTCTGTCTTGGCAAAGCTTCAGTTTTTTCCTGGGTTGGAGGCCTCCTAAATGGAAGTGTCCCAGGGCTCTCTTGACCCCAGGCCTTGCTGCCCTGTCAGTGCAGCATCCCACTTTAGGACCCTGGACTTCAGAAAATCAGGGTTTGGGGTGCCTGGTTGGCTCAGTTGGTTAAGGGTCCAACTTCGGCTTGGGTCATGACCTCATGGTTGGTTAGTTAGTTCCAGCCGCACCTAGGGGTCTGCGCTGTTTCAGATCCCCTGTCTCGCTCTCTCTCTGCTCCTCCCCCCATCCCATGTGCACATGTATGCACTTTTGCTCTCTGTCTCTCTCTCTCAAAAATGAACATTTAAAAAAAAAGAAAGGAAGAAAAGAAAACGAGGGTTTAAGCCCCATCTTAACTCACATAACAATTTCCTTCCGGGTCTGTTCCAGCATCATGTACTGTGTCCACTCCTGTTCAGTTTCATATGTCTTAGACTGATCCACGATCTTTTGGAACATTGTCCTCTTCCTGCAAAATAGACCAGTTCGTTGAAGGAGCTCATCTCAGAATAAGGCAACACCCCGGCTTCTAACACTGGCTGTTTCAGACAGAGGCTTATTAAAGCAACGTAATTAACAACAACAACAACAAAAGGTCTAATGAACCAAGGCCTGAGAATCAACACCTAGGCTCTAACCCAGACCCTGTCACCAATTTGTTGCCTGATCTCACTCAGCAAATCTCTTTCCCTAGATTTCAGTGTCCCGTGGATACAATGGGGGTAATAATACCGAACTCCCGGGGATGTACTCAGAGTTAATGTTCCATAGCACGAGTGTTACGCCCGGCACACAGTACATGTTAAATGAGTTAGAACTACGGTGTTTGTTATTATCACGTTCATTGGTTATTGTTATTCTTGTTCTTAAAAAGGAAAGAAGTACCAACTTGAAATACAGGGCAAGGTCTGTGGCGATGATTGCAATGTCCATCATGTGGATTGCATGCTCGTGCTGCCTGCGATTGAGGTTTTGAAAGATATTCAGGCTCTAAAGAGAAAATCATAGAAGAGATGTGATGCTGGCGGGCCAGCCACGCAACTACTGATGATGACCCCAGCTGTTTGGAGAGGCAGCCCAGGCCAATGGGAAGAGTGCTGCTTGGCCACACGGAGGCTTCTTGTGAAATGGGGGCTCACGGCAGCCAACGCAGAGGGCCCCCACCCATCCTACCTCATCTCTCAGCAACGTTTTGCCAAACTCCAAGTGGTGTCTTTCCAAGATGGAGGACCCATGGAGCTTGGCCAGTGGATTCTGGGATCTGAATGGGAGAGAAAGAGAGAGACACACACACACACACACACACACACACACACAGAATCAGCACGGAAGGGCCAAGAAGGAGGTTGAGCACATCATCCAGTCCCATCCCCTCCTAATTCTGCAGGCAGAGAGGCTGAAGGCCAGAAATGAGAAAGAGCTGGTCACATAGCGAGACCGCATCAGGTCTCTTAAGTCTCAGGCTTTAGTTTTCTCCACAACTGATTCCGAGCCTCTTTCAGTTACGGTCTGTTGAATAGTGTGTGCCCCCAAAGCACAAACATACAGAATACCCCATGCAGTTTCAGGGATTTATGGATTCCCTGTAATCATCCATGACATTGGCACTGGGCCATACTTTAAAGGTCACCAAGTCCTAGATGTGACACTCGGAGTTTTAGGGGAAGCCATTGAATTCCCACAAGCGATGTGTCTATGCATGTTTTATTCATTAAATATTTGTTGAGTGCTTACTAAGTGCAAGCACTGAGCTCAGTACTTAGCTTCCCACAAGGTAAAATGTACACACAATCTCTAGCCTCAGATTGGACTGTTCTAGCGTCTATTTATGATTTATAGGCTGTGGGCCCCGGGCTGATCCTCTGTTTCCTCATCCATAATATGAGCATAACACTAGTCCCTGCTCTACCCAGCCTACACGGTGGTCGTGAAGGTCCACCAAGGCCGTGGTTCAAGGACCACGTTTCAGAGGCTGTCTGGAGTGTAAGCTCGATGAGGACAGGGGCTAGGTCTGTTTTGCTGCCATGGTACCTCCTTTGCCTACCTCCTAGGGCCTACCACACTCACACTAGGAGCATTACAAAATACAAAGTGAATGAATGAACCAGCATCAGTTCATATTCGTAACATTTGGCTTAAATGAGTTCAGCAGCTGGGGAAGGAGGAGAGGGAGGGAGTTTAATATATTACCGCTATAACAAATTACTATAAATTTATTGGCTTAAAACAATAAGGATCTATTATCTTACAGCTCTGGAGTTCAGAGTAAGATGCATCCACAGAGCTACTTTCCTTCTGGAGTCTGTAGGGGACAATCTGTTCCCCTTGCCTCGTAGCTTGTAGAGGCCACCTATATTGCTTGGCTGTGGCCCATCCTTCTCCTCTCTGAGGAGAAGCATCCTCTCTCTCTCTGACCTTCTGTCTCCCTCTTACAAGGACTTTTCTAACTACATGGGGCCCACTGGGAGAATCCAGGATAACCCGTATATTTTAAGATCTTTAATCACTCCTGTGAAGTCCCTTTTGAATACAAGGCAGCATAGTCCCAGGATCCAGGCATTGGGGCATGGACATATTTAGGGGTCATTATTCTGTCTATCACAGGAGTTTACGCAGGAGGAAGAAGAGCAGGAGGAAGAAGGAAGCTGTGAACTGTGGGACTCCCCCTTAGCCAGTGAGTCAGTCTGTCTGAGAGCCTTTCAGATCTGGGTAATGAATCCCAGGAGTGGGAGGTAGAGGGGGCGGGCAGTAAGGGCCAACTCACTTCATCTGGTAGAGGTTGTTGGTGCCTCTGTGGTCAATGTCATGGCAGAAGGCAGCGGTGACCATGGCCAAGGCCTCTAGGTCCGTGAAGTACCGCTTCAGCTTTCCCGTCTGGAAGAGTAATCAGAGGGTGCCACTCACTCCTTTCTTGCAGGGGTGGGGAGCAGAGCAGGTGTGAGGGCCAGGGCCTGGTGCTTAGAAACACAGGTGTAACCTTGACTCTCCCCCTGGCACAACAGCATGACCAGATGTTTGGCTGGGACTGGGGGTTTTTCTGGGTTGTGGGACTTTCCATGCTCGAACTGGAACAGTCCCAGGCAAATGAGGATGGCTGGTCACCTTACTCCTGAATGACCTTACATGGTCCCATCATCCCCCGGTTCCTCAGTATCCCAATCTGCACACTGGAGGAGGAGGGCATTGGACTAGATGGTTGTTGAGAAATCACAACTGTCAGGTTTTAGGATCCAGACAGTTTTTGAACATGCCCGGACTGGCAAAGCAAACCATCCAAACCGGTCTATAGTTTAAGCACAGCCCAGGAGAATCCTCCCTCACACACTGCTTGTTTATGCTGGGTGTTAGACTAAAGGGTGGGGAAGAGCTCGCGAGACGTGATGCTGACTCTGCGACTTTAAGAAATAAATCAAGGGGTGCCTGGGTGGCGCAGACAGTTGAGCGTCCGACTTCAGCCAGGTCACGATCTCGCGGTCCGGGAGTTCGAGCCCCGCGTCGGGCTCTGGGCGGATGGCTCAGAGCCTGGAGCCTGTTTCCGATTCTGTGTCTCCCTCTCTCTCTGCCCCTCCCCCGTTCATGCTCTGTCTCTCTCTGTCCCAAAAATAAATAAACGTTGAAAAAAAAATTAAAAAAAAAAAAGAAATAAATCAAGTCTCTGTGGTGTCACTGTCACCTTCTGTGGTGGCCTGGCCAGAATCCCTGCCTCCCGGCCCCAGTGCTTACTCTGGCCTGACCGTTCCAGCCGTGAGAGAAGAAATGCGGATGAGTGGGGCTGGACAAGGGCAGAGATTTGCATCATAATCTGAATGGGACACACTTTTACATGAAATATCTCTGAACCGTCTGAGCCAAAACGGCTGACACAGATACACATAGGCACGTCCGTCCAAGGACGCTGGGGCAGTGTCTGCTACCATGAAAGATCGAAAACCACCCCTGTGTCTAACAACAGGGGGCTGGGCACAGACATTATGGTATATCTGAACAATATAGGATACTATGCGGCCATAAAATTCTATCATGGAGAAGCCTCGAAAACATTATGCCGAGTGAAAGAAGTCAGACACAAAAAGGCTAATACTGTACGAGATTACTTACCTGAGGTACTTAGGGTAGTCAAATTCATAGAGACAGAAAGGAGAAAAGAGGTCACCAGGGGCAGGGAGTGGGGAACGGGGAGTGGTGGTTTCATGGGGACGGAGTTTCTGTTTGGGAAGATGAAAAATCCTAGAGGTGATGTTTGCACAACACTGGGAACGTGGTTAATACCACTGACTGATCTGTACACCTAAAAGTTGTTTAAATGGTAAGTCTCCTGTCATGTATATTTTACTGAAATAGCACATTAAACATATGAAGAATGGGATTGATACGCTTATATTTTTTCAAATGAAAAAAACATTTTAAAGGATATTATTAAATTGGCTCTAAATAAAATAAACCGTGTGTGCGTGTGAGTGTGTGTGTCGGTGTAAAAATACATCTCGACGCTTCTAGAAGAAAACGCGGAAGGCGTTGTGCCATGGTTCTCTCTAAATAACTGGACAGGGGTTGGGGTTAGCCTGCAGCTTTCCTTCGCTTTTTATTTTACACGATTCTCTGTGCTCAGAATTCATAGATGCTAAGCATGTACTCTTTTTGTATCAGTTTTAAAAAGCAACAAATCGAGAGCAATGCTGTGGCCGCCGGGTGGAGGTGCAGAAGTCATCTGGTGTGATGGGAGCCCCAGCTGCCACCATCCTGCTGCCATCCCACCACCGCCATACCACCAGCAAGGAGAACATGGTCTGCCCCACGTTGAAGCCGTGCCGCCAGTTGTGGTAGGTGATCCTGCGGTAGCCCTTACTCAGCGAGTACATGAATCGCACCAGCGCCTGCGAACACACGCGCAAGAGTGAGGTCTGGAGCCCCACCTCCTGAGGGAGTCTCCCCAGCAGTGAGGCCTGGGGCCCCGCCTCCTGAGGGAGGTCCCAAGCCGTGAGGTCTGAGGCCCCGCCTCCTGAGGGAGGTCCTTCAGTAGTGAGTTCTGGGGCCCCGCCTCCTGAGGGAGGTCCTCCAGCCCCCACACTGGACAGGAGCAGGCCAGCAAAAGCTGCAGTCCTGCCGTGAGAGCACTTTGCAAGCTGCTAAATCTTAGGAAAATGGATGTCGTTATGAAACCAGGTAGATGTAAGTTACTCTACTTACTCCACTAGTTAACCTTCATCAATGTTTCCCAAACTGTGCCCCGGGAGAGCTACTGTCCTGGGAGATGCTGTCAGGAGCTTTACCCGAGAGGAAAACAAAAGGAGTCTCTAAATCAGTGGGTCTCCAACTTGAGTGCCCATCAGAATCACCCAGAAGGCTTGTAAAACACACAATTTCTGATTCATTAGAACTGGGAGAAGGTGTGTGTGCGTGTGTGTGTGAGAATTTGTGCTACTGGGGCCCCTGGATGGCTCAGTACGGTTAAACTTCCAACTTCTGCTCAGGTCACGATCTCACGGTTTGTGAGTTCAAGCCCCGCGTTGGGCTCTGTGCTGACAGCTCAGCCTGGAGCCTGCTTCGGATTCTGTGTCTTCCTCCCTCTCTCCCTCTCTGCTCCTCCCCTGCTTGTGCTCTCTCTCTCTCATTAATAAATAAACATTAAAAAAAAAAAAGAGAGAGAGAGAGAGAATTGGCGCTGATACATTCTCAGGTGGTGCCGATGCGGTTTGGGGCAGCACTTTGAGAACCACTGTGTTAATCAAACAAATCCGGGAAGTTCTGCAGGGAACACACCCCCAGCCCCACCTTCACTGTCCCTCCCCCAACCACCTAGATTCCCAGCACACTGAGAGGAATCCTGCAGGGGAAGAGTCCTGTTTGAACTGGTTTGACCCGCCTTTCCCACCTTTGTTTGATTATAAGCAGCCGTTGATTCACAGCCTCAGAACTCTGTGCCTTACAACCCACCTCAAGAAGCAATGCCCCCAAAACACCACAGTTCAGAGGAACTGTAGGTCTCTTTTCTGATACATGACTCATCTGTGCAACATGACTAATGCTTTAAATCCTACAAGCTGAGGGCGCACTGTTTTTGAGGCTTTGCAGATTGAGTTAAAGAAAAAAAAAAGCAAGCAAGAAAAGAAAAGAAAAAAGGAAATCAGAGAGGTTTATTTCGACCTTACCTCCTGAGGAATGTGAAATTTATCTACCACTTTGAGCTCATAGTACATCTGTATCCCACATTTCACTAGCTCCAGCTCTGTCAGGGGCAAGTCGCTGAAGTGGAATTTATTAATTTCATATTTCTCCGCATCTGGCAGCTCTCCTTGCTGGGTAAGGAACAGAGGCAAGTGGTTGGAGCACATGAAGCGTTCCTGGGTCTCTCCCCCACCCAGCCCCGTCCCCATCCTGCGTCTGCCGGGAGGATCAGAGCAGAGTGACAAGGGTCCTGCTTTGCAGAGACAGCCCCCCACCACGCGCATGCTCAGGGCGCACCCTGCAAGAGTCACCCGCGAGGGCCAGGGATGCCCTGCCCTGCTCACCAGGATCTCAGCGAGTTCCTCTTCCTCACATTCCCATGGCTCCTTCCCGTACACCTCTCTGGTTTTCTGCCAGGGCCCAAAATAGAGAGAGAAAAAAAAAAAAAAATCAGTTGCTTTATCTGGGGTCTCCATGTCCCTCCGCTTTCCATTTCCATTCCCTTTCCTCCAATTCACACACGAAGCATGCAACTAAACTAAATCATGCATGTAAGTCATTTAGTGCAGTGCTAGGCACATCGTAAGCACTAGAATTAAATAATGTTGTTGCTGATATTCTTGTCATTATTACTGACTTGGAGTCAGAAGGTCTTGTTCATGGTTCTGGCTTTTCTACTGGCTGCCTGACTCAAGGCAAGTTTCTTCCTTCCCTGGGCCTGTTGCACCACGCACGTGCCAGAGGAGGCGGGGTGGGGGTGGGGGTGGGGGTGGGGGGGGGGGGTGGGGGTGGGGGTGGGGACCTGGACCCAGTTGCTTGTTTCTGATTAACTGGTTCACTGAAGCTATGCTTGCGTAGTGCCCACATACCCATCACTTGGCTGAAATCATGAACTGAGACAAGCGAATTGTGAGTCAATTCATCCACACTAGATGTTTTCTCCTTTGAATGTATCAGATATTGAGATGAAATTATCAAAGGTGTTGTGATACGTTCCCAGCTTAAGAAATCACTTCTGAAAACATTGGCCTGTCTTGTTTCAACTTGCGAGGTCTGTAAGCAAGGTCTTGGGAGCTTAGCTGGGCATCCTATCCAATGCCATTTGGCTAACTCAGTTTACTTCTAAGATAGTGGTCTTTTTGAGAACAAAATCCCAGTAATGATGAATCACTAATTCCCACGTGTCTTTGAAAGCGCCTCATCCAATTTCCTACCCCAGGCAGGACTCTCCTCTGTAGCATCCCTGGTAAATTCACATCCAGCCTCTATTTGGATGCCTCTCTTGACAGGGTGCTCACTACCTAACAAGGCAGTCCATTCATAAGAGTGGTGGAGAATTTGCTCATTATTCGGACAAAGGTTGAGTGAGACGTATTTAATGAGTGAGACCTATTTAATGTCCCCTGGGTGATTAGGGGACAAGTTACTTCCCCCTTGGGGGCCTCAGTTTCTTCATATCTACAGTGGGGATAGAAACCCTTACCCTGCCCACCTTAGTGGGCCATTGTGAGCGTCAAACGATATTATAAGGGTAAAATTGCCTCATACACTGCAACGTGGTTAAACTATGTGAGGACTGCCTAGTAACCTCCAACTCCTTCTGTCATACTTCTTTGCTCACCCAACTCCTCTGCGATCTGATTGGGTTTCTACATGAGTCAACCCCCTAGAGGGAGTCTCTGAGAAACTGACCATCTTTCATTGGGCTGTCAGATAGAGATTCCTCTGAGAGTAGAGGCTGTGGTTGGGCGACTCTATCTCTCCTACCAAATCAGCCCTCAGCACAGTGAAAAATGGAATTTCTAGAGCTGTGAAGCCAAGATCTGGCCCTACGACTGAGGTGATGCGTGAGGGACAGCTGTCCCCAAGCCACACAGGGCAGCCATTTTGTGTGACTTTCTGATATGCACGGATCCATCCATCCATCCGACGTGAGGGGCCAGGGGCATACCCGTGGAAGGCAAGCCTACCTGTCTCTGCCTTCATGGAGCTTTAGTATTGCTCTGACCACATCTCCAGGATGCAGTGGCTGCTAGAGCAGAAACAATAGAAGAGCTTTACCCACCAGGATTGTCTGGATCTCTTCGTTGTCACACTTCACGTGGTATTTTACCATGTCCTGGAAAATGTCCTTCCTGTTTTCCAGTTTGTTCATTGACTCATAGGTGTCGGGATTTAAGACGGACCAGCCCAGGAACTGAGCCAAAGACTGCAAGGAAGGAAAAAGAAGAATCAGAAGCAGAACACCCAGGCTTGATCCTGCCTCTGCAGTTGAGGGCAAGGCTTGAAGTTTCCATCTCCTCGGCCGTGAGGTGGGTTCGATAAGCTGGGCGCTGCCCTCCTCAAAGAGATGTTGTGAGGATAAGAGAAAACAATGGACGAGAACGCGCTTTCTAATAAAGCACCAACACAGATAAAGCACCTAATACCTTCGCACAAGGGGAACGTGTTGGGCCTGTGTGGGGGCAGGAGGTATTCTCATTTTGAGTGTGATCCTAAAAACGCTGAAAGGTGAAGTGTGTTAATTCAAAGTGGTTTTAAGGGGAGGGTGGATTTCTCTGACGACACGGGCAATGCCGAAGTGAGGGCGAAGAAAGCGGACGTTGAGGCAGAGTCGGGGGAGCGGCTACAAGGGGTGAGGGTCCCCCAGCACGCTTGCAACAAGCCACCTCGGAAACCCCACGGCAAAGGCCTCCTCGCAAACCATACCTCCATGAGGGTCTCGTCCATCTCATCAAAGGGTTTCCCATCTTTGCGATTGTAAAACGTGGCCACCCCAACAATCTCTTCCTTCTTGTTCACAATTGGCATAGAAAGGACATTCTTGATCATCCATCCGGACTCATCCAGAGGCTCTTTCTGCAAGAGAAGCCAGAGTGGGTTACACATTTGTTGCTCGGGAGGACCTTTCATTCAGAAGTCTGGACAGAACTGGGCCTAGAAATGGCGGTCAGAGGGGCGCCCGGTGGCTCGGTCGGTTAAGCGTCAGGCTCTTGGTTTCAGCTCAGGTCACGGTCTCACGGTTTCGTGAGTTCGAGCCCCGCGTCGGGCTCTGTGCTGACGGTGTGGAGCCCGCTTGGGATTCTCCGTCTCCCTCTCTCTCTGCCCCTCCCTCACTAGCGCCGTCTCTGTCTCTCTCAAAATAAATAAATAAACTTAAAGAAAAAGAAATAGCAGTCAGGAAAGGACAAGGGAACAATAATTCGGTCTGTTCGTTATCAACAACATGTGCAAAAGAGAGGAAACTAAAGATAATCAAAGGGGTTCAGATGTGTTTAAACAGGCAATGTAGTTCACGTGACTCTGGGCATCACAACTTTCAGACTTTCTGCCGCACAGGCTATTTGGGTATATTTAAAAAGTGCCCGTGCTTTCCAGGTAATACGTACAAAATGAAAACTGCAAAACAACTAGGGACTCTGCGGGTAGGTGGGCAACAAGCCTATCGAATCAGATGGTAGCTGTGTAAACAAAACCTTTGGCTCCTCTCTGTGCTTTGTTTTTCACCTGTCTATTTTGGCAACAGATTAAAGTCGTCTAGAGTGTTTCACCTGCTTCTGATTATTCGCAGATACAGTCTCTCTCTCTCTTTCTCTCTCTCTCTCAAGCCACCAAGTGCCAGAATGTGCTTAACAACGCCACAATTAAAGGTTTTGTTTGTTTGTTTAGCTCTTGACTCTTGACTCTTGACGTGACTTTCTGTTACTTTTGGCATGTCATCTTATCTCGGCGGGTCTCAACTTTCTCATCTGTAGATGGGGACGGTAGCAAGAATATGTGCCTCGTGGAACATACGAGAAAACGGAGGTGAAATTTCTTGGTCAATCTCAAGGTCCCCTTTGTGAGTCATTTTCCATCTGTCAGAGCCTCATTTTCATCATTTATAACAAGAGGACGACTGGACGAGGTAATTTCTAGACTCTTTTTCTGCCAATTCGTAAAATATCAGACATTTTAGAACGTGCAAGAAACTGACCTAGAAGCTGAAAATAAAACAAGGCGAATAAGGCACAAAGGTTGTCCTCAGGTTGCTTGTAATCTAGAAGGTCAAGGAGCAACTGCACTACACATGGGGAGTTTGTTATGATACTGGGGGAACCAGAGAAGGGAAGGAAATCAAGGAAGGCTTCCTGTACTTGGAGAGTCTTCTAGTTTGAAAGTTCCAAGATTCTTTTTTATTTTAATGTTTATTTATTTTTGAGAGAGAGAGACAGAGCACAAGGAGGCGAGAGGCAAAGAGAGAGAGACACACAGAACCCGAAGCAGGTTCCAGGCTCTGAGCTGTCAGCACAGAGCCCCACGCAGGGCTCGAACTCATGATCCGCAAAATCATGGCCTGAGCCGAAGTCGGACGCTTAACTGACTGAGCCACCCAGGGGCCCCAGAAAGTTCCAAGATTCTTAAGGTGGTGAGATGATGACGAGGACAATGACCACGACAACAACGACAGTGGTGATGATTTCAGTAACGCTGGAAGTCAGCACCTGGCGAAAAAAATGACTCCCAAGGGGTGCAGATTACAGCCCAAAGAGCAAGGGGCTGTTGGTCAGGAAACATGAGTTCTAGGTCTGCCTCCCCCACCCCCCCGGCTCTCTACTTAACCTTTGGGGAAGTTCTTCCTTCTGAAGGCCATGATAAGGAGACAGCTTATTATTGAAAGTGAAATGAGAAAACATTAAAGATTTTTTAAGCAGAGAAGGTACTTGATGCAACCCATGTTTCCAAAACTACTCAAACTATTTTGTAGAGAATGAGTTGGAGGAAGAAGACTAGAATCTAAAATTGAGATCAGATTTAATTTTTTCACGTGGGTACGTGCAATTAATTGAGTAGAGACCAAGTTCTGTACGGATATCATCAGGTTAGCAACACGTGACAACAGTTTGGGCTTGTCCCATGGTCATGGTCAAAACCCTAAACCAGGATGTGCAACTTTAGCTTTGGAAGGATAGTCTCACGAAGCTCTTTCAACATGCTCTTCAAGGAGTAAAAAAATAATTCATGAATTTTTCTAAGAGACATTTTTATTTTCTTCTTAGTTAGTTCCTGATTGCTAATGATTTGTTTTTCTTATATCGAGTGTGCTAACCTCAACAAATATTTACAGGAGCTGGAAATATCAAGAAAGATAAGGCCCAACCATTGGCCAAAGGAAGCTGATATTTTGCTGAGGAGAGTTAACCTGAAATCAAGGAAGGGTAATAAAAGATAAGGAAGGGAAATATAGTAGGAGAGAACTCCCCGGCATGGTTTTCCAGGCCGTGCGTCATCTGGCCTTAGTCTACTTCTCTAGAATCTCCTGTTGGCACTTTCTGATCTGCCTCTGACTCAAATCCATCGGTCTACTGTAGGTCCTTCCAACAAGCCCTCTCCCTCCTGCAGTCTTCTCCCCTTTCTTTGCTGCCCAAACATAATTTCTCAATTATTATTCCTTGATTAATTCCAGACTCAGTCAGGTCTCCAGAGAGATCCCTTCCTCTGTCCCTCTGTCCTCTGACCAGCACTCCATGGCCTTTCTCCCCATGTAATCATGAGCCTTCTCGAGATAAAGACCATGTCTGTCGGCCCACTACGGCAGCCAGCGTAGCACTGTGTCAATTCCTGGCACAGCGGGTGCCCTTCATAAACATTCGTAGAAAAGACGGGCAAAATCAAATGGAGTGTTAAACAATATTCCATGAAAAGCCCAAGGAGACAGAAATGATATTAGCCAGAAGAAAGAGAATAAGACTCCATGGAAGTTTCATAGCGTTTGAGGTTGTATTGAAGGGCAGAGAGGATTTGGGCAGGACACGATAGTTGGGGGGTAGGGGAACAGCATAAACAAAGGTCCTGAGGCCAGAAAGCAAAGGGTGTGAACATTAAAACCAAACGGGACCTTGGAATTTACCAAACTAACTCTCTCCCCACTTCCATGGGCACATGACTTTTTTTCCATCCACATTTTCACCTTATCGAGATGGCCTCCCAATAAATAGACGGATTTTAATGTATCCTACTCCTCTTGGGGGGAAAAAACATCATATGACTAAGAGATCAAACAAAAAATGACTTGCCTGGAATTCGAAAAAGTCCTCCGCAGGCGCATTCATGATGTTGCAAATCTGAAAGCCATGAGGAGGAATAATAGAGCTGTGATTAGTCGCGATAGCATACCTAGTGAAGCCCTGCTTTCAGAAATGCTATGTCCTTGCCCAAGGCGTTCACATTCTTTTCATTAGGTAGACATGCCCAAGATGGCTTTGAATGATTAACTGAGGTTATTGGACAGAAAAGCTACCTGGGCGAACATTAGTTCTTGCCATTTGCTTCCTCAGTCATTTCTAAGCTTTGAAAGAAATTAAGGCTACAATTTGTCATTGTTAACAGCTGCATAGTATCTCATTTGCTTGTCCCCCTTTTGCTGAATGTTTGGGTGGTATCCCGTTTTTGTTACTATTAATATAAGTAATGCTACTCTAAGCATCTTTCAGCCCGTTACATTTGGGTTTGGTATTGTTTGTTTTGTTAAGGAAGGAGTTTTTTTCTGGGGGCATAAACCCCAAAGTAGAATGAGAAATAAAAGTGTTGTAGCTCTGGTTTTATATTGCCACATTCGTCTCCTAAAAATTGAACTAGTTAACCCTACCGTATGGATGGGACGTACCTCACGCCTCCAGAGCCCTGCCCTTGGGGCCACCGTGTACACTTGCATGGTGTGCACACTGCACAAAAGCACACCACTGAAGGTTGCCTGGGAGTTAAACTCCAGCTTGTTCTTGACTTGCAGAGAGACGCCCCTAGTCTTTTTCTTTTCACCCACTGAGAAGGCATGTTTTTTCCAAGTTCTCAAAAAGGCACCCACAGGATTTGAAGTGACCCTGCCTGTCCCATTGGCCGTGACCATCATGTGGTCTCAGAGGGTGAGCTGTCTGTCTCTGCTCCTGTTCAAGAGCTGCTTACCTACTGCCGCATCCCTCTGGCCTCTCTTTGGACCATTTCCATCAGTTGCTGTTGTTCCCTCCTGACCCCTGACCTCTCTGAGGGCTCCTGCCCTCAGCCATGAGCTTGCCTGAGTCTCTCCCATCCTTGAACGTGAAATCTCTCTTCACCCAAACACGGCCCCAGTAGCAACCCACCCAGGCTTTTTTCTCTTCTTTTCTTTTGTGATTCTCTACCTGCTTATCGTCCATCCACCCCTCCGCAGACCCCACGCCAGCTTCCACCTCTGCCTCACCACCAAACCCGCTCTCATCAGGGCTGCCAGTGACCTAATTGCCAGACTCGATAGGGTTTTCAGTTCTTATCTCACGAGATCGCTTTTGCTGCTTGGCCGTCTCTCTCCTTGTTGAATCGCTTTACTTCCTCGGTTTCCATGACACCTACTCCTGCCTGGGTCTCCAGATACCTCCGAACCCTCCTTCTAGCCTTCACATGCTCCTCTTTAGTCTTTAAAAAAAAATTTTTTTTTCAACGTTTATTTATTTTTGGGACAGAGAGAGACAGAGCATGAACGGGGGAGGGGCAGAGAGAGAGGGAGACACAGAATCGGAAACAGGCTCCAGGCTCTGAGCCATCAGCCCAGAGCCCGACGCGGGGCTCGAACTCCCGGACCGCGAGATCGTGACCTGGCTGAAGTCGGACGCTTAACCGACTGCGCCACCCAGGCGCCCCTCCTGTTTAGTCTTTAAATGCTGGCACCCAACAGCATCCCACCCCAGGTCCCTCTCACTCTCCCTGGTGACTTCATCCACACACATGGTTTCCAGAACCATCTGGTCCTGATGTCTTTCAAGTCCCCTGTCTCCAACTCTCCTCTCTCTCCACAGCTTCAGAGTCATCTCTTCAGCTGCCCACTGGACATTTGCTGCCTAAAAACGTCTCCGTGTCATCTTGTCTGAAACTGACCTTATCACCTCGCATCCAACCCTCTGGTCAGCATTGCTTATCCAGTCCAGAAGCCTGAGATTAGCCCTGACCCTTCTCTCTCCCTCCTTCTCTGCCCATGATCACGAAGTCCTGCCAAGTTTACCCTCCTGATATTAGATCTGAGCCCTGGTCTCCCTCTCTTCATCTTGTCTCTGTCAGACCTGCGTGCGTATTGAATGAGAAAATTTATTTACTGCGCGGCTCGTAGGCCCTCACTGGCTGTTGCTGCTAACGAGAGCACTCCTCGCTGCCTGTGCCTTTCTTGAGATGCCCGTCTTCTCTTGCTTGTAAGGATGTGCTTTTTGCTCTGCCTCTTAATATCTTCAGATCTATCTTCCAGGGAGCTCTCAGAGTTATCTTTTTAAAATGGAAATTGACCGTGTCAATCTCTTGCTTAAAAACTCAGTGCCTGTAGGTTGAAGTCCCATCCCGTGACCTGGCATCCAAGGCCACTGCTATCTGGTGCTTCTTTCCCTCACGAGGCTCATCTGTTGAAGGCTTCCTATCTCAAACCTAATACTCCAGCCACACTCAACTGCATACACCTTGCTGTTCAAACCTCCAGGCCCGTGTTTGCTCACATCGCTGCCTCCACCTGAATCCCCTTTCCTGCTCTTATCTGCCTAAGACCTATTTATTTTAAAACTCAACTCAGACCAACACTCTAGGAAGAAAAGGCTGGTTTAGATGCCCCCTACCCTGTGCTCCTAGACTATACCCGGTATATCTCTATTGTGCCCTTATCACACTGGAGTAGAAGAATCTGTTTAAAATATCTCCCCAGTTGATTACGAGCTTCAGAACAGACACTGTATCTGATGCATCTGTCTTTCCATCCCCAGAGCCAACGGCAGTGCCTGGTACATTGAAAATGTTCAACACGTAAACTTCTCGCTACAGGAGCAGCGTTGTGTAGCGTGTGCCTGGGGAAGGCTAAAGAGGGGTGACCGGGCTCAAATATGGGGTGATGTGCACCAAGGGTCAAGCGAACTGAGGAATGAGACTCAGGCTTTTAGAGACTCACTTCCCGCCGTGTTTCCTACTCTCTCGATCTGAAATCCTTTCACACTTCCAACGATTCAAGACCCTCCCCCTTCAAAGTTGCATTACTTACCAGGCCATTCTGGGCAACATAAGTGGGGAGACCACTTACTAAAGCCCAATGATCAGGAGGTGGGTTCCTGTAAAGGCCAAAGACAACTGGTAACTTTTGATATAGGGACAGTTGGACGAAACCCTTGAATCTGGGTCTTGTCCCCCCTCTACTCTCTTGGGGGGTCCCAGTCCCTGCTTACATTCGCTACGCCTCAATGACCCCCAAATCTTATCTAAGCATCTTACTATTCAAATTTAGACATGGAAAAAAGCCTGATGAATACGACATTTTATAAGTGCATGCTGAGTTTGACGACCCAAGAAAAAGGACAAGATTCATTCAGCATATTGTTACTGACTGCTGAGCAAAAAGAAGCCCATCGTTTCCATTAATACTTATACGGAGAGAGGTAGCTTAATACCATTGAGAGAGAGAGAGAGAGAGAGAGAGTGAGGAAACACATCTATGGTGAACTCCTACCACGTACCAAGCACTAAGCTGGGTGCTTTACATACTGATTTATCCCTCACGATAATATTACTATTTTTGATATTATTATCTTTTTAAAAACTTTTTTTTTAACATTTATTCATTTTTGAGAGACAGAGTGTAAGCAGGGGTGGGTCAGAGAGAGAGGGATACACAGGATCTGAAGCAGGCTCCAGGCTCCAAGCTGTCAGCACAGAGCCCAACGTGGGGTCCAACTCAAGAACCGTGAGATCACGACCTGAGGGGAAGTCAGATGCTCAACCGACCGAGCCACCCAGGGGCCCCAGTATTATTATCTTTTATTTATTGTAAGATTATGCTTGTTTGTTGTGAGAAAAAATACAAACGTGGAGAAACACATTAAAATCTTCATGAATCATTCTGAAGTGAACATCCATAAAACCACACCCAGGTCAAGAACAACCTTGTCAGCACCTTGGAAGTCCCTGACCTGTCCCTGCCAATGGCAGCCCTCTCCCTGACTCCAAAGGTAACCATTGTTCTGACATGATTAGTTACACTCTTGCTTTTCTGTAGAGTTTTACTACCTAAGTATGCTTTCTAGTAACCTCTAGTTTAATTCTGCCTGTTTTTTAGTTTCACGTGGCTGGAATCCTACAGGGTCTGTTATTTCATTTGGTCTCTTTTTCATGTCGCTGTAATCCATTTGTTTTACTGACTCCAGTTTTTTCTTGTAAAACGATAGCACCAAGTATCCATTCAATGACAGATGGCACTTTCCCTCAGCTTAGGGTTAATGTGAACAATGATGTATGAACAGTCTGATGTGTATCTGCTCTCAGTTCTGTATGCTGTGTACCTAGGAGATAGAAATACTGAGTTATAAGATGTGCATGTCTTCAAGTTTACTAGATAAAGCCAAACTTTTCAGAAGTGGTTGTTTCTGGTATATACTCTAGAGGATACAGCAGTTTATTAGACTTTTCCTTTCTTCCATGTCTCTGTTGATACTTAGTATTTTCAAACATTAAAAAAAAATTCTCTTTGCGGGGTGAGGGTGGGGGGCGCCTGGGGGGCTCAGCTGGTTAAGTGCCCAACTCTTGGTTTCAGCTCAGGTCATGATATCATGGTTCGTGAGATAGAGCCCCGCGTTGGGATCTATGCTGACAGTGTGGAGCCTGCTTGGGATTCTCTCTCTTCCTCTGTCTCTGCCCCTCCCCTGCTCACACACACACATGCTCTCTCTCCCTTTCTCTCAAAATAAATAAATAAAAACTTAAAGAAAATTTTTAAAAAAATTCTCTTCAGAAAGCCAAGAAAGTTCTCTATGGAGATAATTATATCATGTTTCTCTTAAGGTAGCCAACTGTATTGATGGATGTTTCGAATGTTAAAAACCAACCCTGCCTTCCTGGATTAGACCCAATTGGGTCATGATATAGAATCCCTTGTAGTTATTATTTGCTTAAAATTTAAAAAAGTAATTATTTTTTTATCGAAGTGTAGCCGACACACAAGATTCCATTAGTTTCAGGCATACAGCAGAGTGGTTTGACAACTGTATATGTTATACCCCGCTTACCACAAGTGTATCATCTGTTTACAGCACTATTGCAATAGCATTAACTATATTCCCCATGCTGTACCTTTTATCCCTGTGGCTTATTCATTCCTTGGTTGCTAAAATTCGTTTAGGATATTTGCATCTATGTCCACAAGTGAGCTTAATCTGAATATTCCTTTTTTTTTTTTTT